CTTTTCGACTACAAATCACGCATGGAATGATTTTCGATCTCATTCTCTTGATTTTTCTTCTACTAATATAAACGGTCGTAGAGTTTTTAAATGACTTATACTTGATAGGTTTATTGTGATGTAAAAACCCCGGTGACCTTTACCCAAAAGCAGTTCACGTGGAAATCCGACATTTCATACAGGAATATATCAAACAGAGTGTTTATCCTGGAGTTACCAGAAGTCATCCCAAAATTGGCCAATTTTAGGATGCATCGAAAAAAATAGTGTTACTCTATGATGCATTAGAGAAAAACAGATATTGGTTTAAAATTGTAAATTATTCTGCGATTCTCTATACACATCTTACAATGGCGTAGGTAAGGGGACAAAAGGGAAAGGGCGTGTCTCCCAATCGAATTTCGGAAAATAAAGTAAAGGAAAGAAGGAAGGAAAGTAGGCCTACTCCCTAAATGGAGAGTATAGTGGAATTTCAGGATAACAGGAATCATTTTACTTAAATTCAAGATTCAAGATTTATTCCATTTTTTAAATTTTATTTTATAGATAGGCATACAAAATGAAATGTACTCTCAAAAGAGTACTTTGGACCACTCCCTTTAGTCGATTCCAGTGTAAAACGAATTGATCTCTAACAATTATATCCCAAAAGAGTGGATTTCCACAAGATATTTCCATGAAAATAAAGAATGAGTTAGAAATAACAAAGTAAATATATGTATGTATATAAAGGTATGGTTAAGTTTTATAGTGAACTGAAAGGTATCAATGTAAGACCATCGTGAAAAAAAAGAAAGAAAAAAGAACAGGAGAGGAGAAGACGTAGTGGAAAGTAGTACACCCGCTTGTCCGACATTCTCCCCTCCCTCGACAGCATTGTTTTCTTGCTTTTTAATCAACACAGTCAAACCTGCCCCTCCCCCTCCCCTATAACACAAACACCCCTCAGTGGCTTGGCCATATTGCTACGCCACTGACCTTTGACCTGCATTCACGTACGATGATCATTATTAACTGATGGTTTATCTTATGACGGAAAAATATACTCAGGAAATGATTAAAATCTGACTAAAATCACTAAATGAGGCGTTTTTCAAAGGGAGCCGATTCGACTGAGCAATGGATTGACCAAGTTCCATCATTGCTCTTTAACCAACCCCTCACGGGCACAGATAAAGCACCGACAAAAAATCAAAAGGGATAGACCGATATCGTTTTATGAATCAATGTCTTTATTGATATTTTGACGAGCCGTAAGGTCTTCATAAAGTTACAATTTCCTTTATATCACCTCTTATCGATTGAAACTGATTTAAGTCTTTGATGGTATCAGAAATGCAACAATATTTTCGTTGTGCTCAAAATTTGACCCTTAGGATTTTAATTATCCCACGCCTTATAAAGTATTAGATATTCTCGGCTAATCTTATGAATTATTTCCCCCTTTTCTCTTCTCGAAGCGCCCTCGTTTATTTGTGTTCGGTCGATATATGACAGGAGTGGTTTCTCTGATGTCTCTACATAATTTAATACAAATAGATATGTATCTTTTCTATTATTCAAGTGTCTGATATTATATCCTTGCTTTATACTTTTATACCCTTATAGTTATGCCCATCTTCGATTATGGTTGTAATACGTTTCTTTGAGCAGCGTTGCCATGACATGTTGCCGTTTGCCCTTTTTAATATTACTTTACGATTTACACCTTAGAAAATCTCCTTCTTTATTTTTCACACATTAATCTTTCCTTTTTCTGATGATTTCCGACGACGTTCCTGTATGCTCATATCCATTTTAATCGGCGACCCTATGGAACTTTATGGGATGCACTGATGATGTGTTTATGATGTGACTTTATATCCTTTAATTACAAATATTGATTCTATCTTGGAAGCCAGAAAGGGGGGGGGGGCGTTAGTTTTGTGTTAAAGAGATAACGCCCTTGGGGCTCCAAATAGGCGCGATGATAGTACAAAACCGCCAAGATGCATTTATTCAATGACTGAGCCGAAATGATTACTAAAATAAGCCAATTAATAAATCAAGTCGGTTATCTACAGTTTGTATCATTGGTTGGCAATAATTATTCTATCAACAAATAATTAATACCGAACACGATCGAAAAATATCGTAAAAATATCAACCTAAGGACATTTCAATAGCATTGTCCTTCACTTTTTGAAACGCGCTAACATGACAAGGACCTAACGTAATCTGAACATGAGTTCTCTGAGATAAATTTGAGGGTTGTGAAATTGTCTTTGAATACATTTCTCGAAAGTCGTTGCGATCGTGTGGCGTTAATAAATTGTTCAAATTGACTGCCATACTCAGAACACTGTGATATATTAGTAAAACTCTTGACTCTCATTATGAGATGTTCTGGGTTCGCTTATTGGCTCCGACATTACGGCCTTTGACAAGGTGTTTTTCCACATCTATCCTTCTCTACTCATTTGTAAATGTTTACCTGGCAATGCTGGGGCAATTATAAGGGTCAACGGGGAGAGCACTGTTAATAACTGATGTGACTACTCAAATAGTTGTATTATTCTTCTCGAATTTTCGAAGTGTCATTAGCAGTCAAACAGAACAACACAGCATTTTTAAAAGGCGTTTCCTTTTTTATCACCGTGTCACCTCTTTTCTCCTTTATTTCTCTACGCCTTTATTAAACGCCAACATTAAACAAAACGAACATGCAACCAGACAAAATAATCTATGCTCGAAATAGACAAGAAGAATGAGAGGCGAGACATGAAGCAAAGACAAAAACAAACTTAATAACCAGAGAGAACAAAAAAGAAGAATTCGCACGTGGCCTCGCGTTGACAGAGAAAATCAACACGTCGAATCAAAACTTTTTAAAAGTGAATATTCGTTTCAAATTGCAGCCTCAGCGGAGTGTCGCAAATGCACTTTTCTTTCTGTTGACGATCCAAATTGTCAGTGTTCACAGGCATAGCTGCACGTGGGTCTCCGGATTTGGAATAAATTGGAAAGGGCATAGGAATATCGATAAGAAGGGAGATATCAAACTTGACACCGAATTCGACACCTCATTTCGGGTGAAAATGTGTTTCATATATCAGCCTTGTTAGAGCGCAAACATGCTGGATTGTGTTCATGTGGCAAATGCCCGCCCCCCCCCCCCCCCCCCCCCCCACTCCGGGGTCGGAATGACCCCTTGCGTGCTACCAAAATGTCCGGTAAAGGGGTACTTTTCGTGCGACAAAGTCCGGCCCGAGAATTGAAGAAAAAAAAAGGGTGTATTAACTTTTCACCCGGAGATTACTTTAAAAAGGGGGTGCTTTTTCTTTTTTTCTCTCGTCTCTTTGGACTCCTGAGAAATTGTTCCGAATTTAGGGGGGTAGATTGAGCATTTTTCATGATTTAGGGGGATCTCCAAGGCAGGAAAAGCCCGCAAAAAGCCCGCGAAAGGGGGGTTCGGAAATGTTGGCAGTCCTCAGATAGGGGGTGCTTTCAAAAAGAGGGAACGAGCATATGCGTACCCTAAATAACACTGAGTGGGGGGGGGGGGGGCAAATGACACACGTACATGTATGTATATTGATGTCAATTTTTGTTGTTGATGCTCATGTAAATGAAACTTTAGACTGATCTGTTTTCTGTACTCTTGAAATATCACAGCACACTGTTCTAAAACGAATTTAGGTTTATGACCCCATTTCTATGATTGACATTTCATTTCTATCGCATTTATTGTCATCTCCTCCCGTTTATTCCAAAATATTTACATGTGTGTACAAAAACATCGTCACAGCCCTTTTCATCTATTCATAAAATTATTTGTTGTTGTGGTCTCGAAAGAATACTTGTTTTCGCCTACGCTCTGCATCGACTATAATACATCTTTGCTAAATATTGATAGAATCTTACAGGGACAAACTAAATATATAGAACTGACACACCCATAATTTCGTCTGACTGTGGTTTGTTCTATGCTGGCTGTCCCTTTATTGTCATACTCATACATCATGAGAAGAAATCTTTAGGAATACAATATTGATTTTATTTTCACCATTTTGTTGTTGTGGTAACTTCATGCTCTGGAAGTTATTTGTTTATTGGCAGACGAACACGTCTCAGGAGACACATACATATGGATTTTTGGGATGATGGACACTTGGGGAGATATGTGAGAATCGCAGGAATGTGGTATATTTTAGGCAGAGAAGGAAGACACCTCTTCTCAAACTTATAAACAAATTAATGCCATGTCCTTAGTGACAATGTCTTGAAACAATTTGTCACCTGCCACCACATTTGGTGCGTGAAGGCATTTTATCTTTGATATAAAATGTTCATCTTTCATGACAAGATTTGAGATTAACCGTGCATTCAGACTACCGGAAATCATCGTAAAGCGCTTCGCTAAGTAATTACCTTTTGAGTCGGTATGCGATGATTCTTTATACGAAGTTTCTTCCAATCTGAACAGACCACGAAAATCTGTTTGTGTGAAGAGGGCAAGGTACACTTTTAGCATAAAAGGCTAGTCGTGTAACATGTTAGCATTTGAAATATCATATGACAAAATAATACACTACAACATGTTTTAAAGTCCACAATCCAAACAATCGATGACGCACGAAACTCACGACACACAAGAGACCAACATGTCGGTCTTTGCCCCCCCCCCCCCCCCCTCTGGGAAAGAGTTAATTTTACCTTTTGGAGATGCCCCCCCCCCCCCTCCTGACGCTCAAGGGGGGGGGGAGTGCGATTTTTTTTTCCGGCTGGATCCGCCCCTGGCCTATGAGCCTGACATTTCGGTCTCGCGGGGCTCGACCGTTGCTTATTATCTGAATATTCTGAGTGTTGATATCACGGTCTAGTGGGTTATCTGTCAATCTGTCGATCCACAGGAAAGCCCCGCCCTCCCCTATTTTGCATCCGTAATAATTTATGTTTTTGTAATGTTTAATTGTATCTTTATAGCAGTAACAACAATTTCATGTTCTTTCCATAGGGATAACAACCACCCCCATCATGTCATCACATGTGTCTTAGAGATAACGGAATTCATCTCCAAGTAAAATTTAAGGACATCTCGTTACCATGGCAACTAGCTCCAAGTCTTCCCCTCTCGGATTCTCCATCCTCCTCCTCCTGTGTCTCTGCTACGGACTATCTGCTTCGGCTTCGAGGACAAAAGAGATTTTAGAGGTGATTAATTTCCATCAAAGTTTATCTATCACGAAATGATACAAAATTATATAGGGTCAGGGCAATATGATATATAAATTATAACATCTCGTTCGAGGAAACCGAAGCATTGCGTTTGCAAATTTATACATAATATTATGTCATTTGATTTGTTTCAATCTTTACTTCTTTATTTATTAATTTATTCATCTCTTTATGCATTAGTTCATTTAATTAAAACTCTTTACTTTTGTTTAAAGAAAAAGGATTGCCCCGTTTTATTCTTCAAAACTGTCATTAGTCTATTTACCCATTGGTGTGATTTTCCACAACGAGCTGTCTTCATACGTCTGATAAATATAGGCCTATCATATACAGTTCAGGGACAAACGATTTTATAACAATCATTTTCTTATCTTGGTGTTGAATCAGTAAACCTTTATTTCTAATCCAAAACTCTCAAAACAGGTTTATTGATCCGAATAATCTGTTTTCCTAACCGACTTTTCACCAGTTCAATAGTCAATGTTATGGTATTTAGCTGTATAGAAAAAATGGCTTATAGAAAGATAAATTCATTATCCAAACAATTCCATAGAATATGATTTTCAAAGAGTATTCTTCATGATATGGTTTCAAATAAATATTCTCGGAGTATATTTGTTTATTATTTCTAACTCTTCAATAGAAAGATGAATTTTGTATTCAAACAGTGCATAGAATATGATTTGCAAAGACTATTCTTCATAAATGGTTTAAAATAAATCTTTCTCCAACATCATTTGTTTATTTATCTTCTCCTTCCATTTTAATAGGTTTTGAATAATTCCACAAAGGGATCAACGCCGGCCGCAGAAGAAACCGGTAAGTGTTATCTCTATCTTGAATCAAACTCCTGTTTATAAAGTAGTGCGTTGTAAAGATCCCCGATTAAACTCTTGAAATATTTAGGTTGTGAACAAGGCATATTCGTCAAAAAAGCAGTATCAAGGTCAATCTGATATATAATGAACTCATGTCATCATGAAATTAGCTTTACATTTTAACATACGGCCTATAATTTCAGTTTAAATAAATCATGAAATTTAGATATGCACGATAGTCATCTGAAAAGAGGACTACTTCCCTAGAAAAAAACACTTGTTATTGACAAATAAAAGAATGAGCATGAGATATAATGAGACATTTAGTGGTGAGAATGAGAGTCGGGGAGAAACAGAGGGACAGAGATAGAGACAGACATACAGATAGAGAGACAGACAGACAGACATAGAGGGAAGAGGAGAAAGGAGAGGGGGAAGAAGAGAGAGATAACTACAGAGAGAGAGAGAGAAGGGTAGAGAGAGAGAGAGAGAGAGTGGGAGAGAATGAGAGAGAGAGAGAGAGAGAGAGAAAGAGAGAGGATAGTGTTTTGTTGAAATTGACTTTGACTCGTAAATATGCCACCCTGTCGTTTTATTTCATAGTTTTGAAGGTTACTGCCACTAGACTTAGAAAACAAATCTAATAATTCGTCACTTTATCGATTCATCGTGAATGAGATCCCAAAATGATGAATTGTGTCAAGGGCAATATAGATCGTGATCATATCCAACAGATTTTCAATAGCATAGGTGTTTTATATATTTTCGATCGGTTTAGATATAAATTAGCTGGAAAGAGGGGGTAGCGCATGGACGAGATGAGAGAGGTAGTGAGATAGGGTAATATATAATTATAAATATCTGTTTTCATCATCTAACTTTTTGGACTTCTTATTCTTTCATTTATTTCGTATTATGAAAAGAATAGACAATTCACCTAATACACTTATATCTGATTTTGTAAAGTCTCAGGATGTTTAAACTTTTCACCATGTTGAATATATTGAACTTTACTCTCTTATATTCACCTGTGAATGTTGATAACTGTGATGAAAACAAAATACACCTCTACCACCAGACTGTTTATGACAAGATAAGGCTTTAAATTTAAAGGGAAAGTCCACCCCAAAATAAGTTTGTTTCGATAGAGGCAGAATAATACGAAAATCAGGTAAGTGAAAGTTTGAGCAAATTCTGAATGAAAATAAGAAAGTTATGAATTATTGAAGTTATGATCAATCAAATACAAATTGGCAACTCTGTGACTTATTATATGAGCTCTCCTTCATTTGCTTTGTGCATAATATTCCATAAAATCATGTTTTCTTCGTTATTGATGACGGAATATATATTTGTTCCTTGCAGGGGGAGTATAGAAACATATTTGCAATTATTATATTTAGGGTGCATGTATGGTTGAAATTTTTCTTGAGGGAAAATGAAAATTTTAGATTTTTTTAGTACTGAGCAAATGGAAGTTGAGCTCGCATGATACGTCATAGAGTTGCCAATTTGTGTTTGATTGATCACAACTTCAAAAATCCTAACTTCCTTATTTTTAATCGGAATTTGCTCAAACTTTCACTGACTTGTTTCTCTCATTTTTCTACTCCTATTAAAACTAACTTAATTTCAGGGTGGACTTCCCCTTTAAGTGTATCTGTCGGATTCCAGAGAAACGAGTAAATATTTGATTTTCACACAAATAAATCTGAAGTTCTCTACCACGCTCGCTACGAAGCCTGGCCTGGCGCTGTCGACTGTTTGTTGATCTTTAGAGATATTTTTGGAATAAAGTTGGAATGTTTAACACGAAGTCTGACATCAAAGAGAAAGGTGCAATCTACGACAAGTTTGAAGGGTGTAATCTTTTTTTCGGGTCCTTGACCAATTTTTTGCTCGAGAGGTCATATTGTAAGGAATGAATTGTGGAGGGTTGGCAAAGCTTGCTTGGAAATTTTGTTGCAATTATCCTGATTGTACTATTTTGAAGAGATTGAGCAGAAATTGTGGTTTATTGTGCATGAATAAAACGAGAAATAGAGGTAAATATAATTTAAGTTGAAAAGGATAGTGAACTACTATATTCATGTTAAAAGGGTAACTGGTTCAAAAGTGCAATATACGAGCTATCATAATATGGATATGTATAGTTTTTAGGAAGATTTCAAAAGATGACAATAAAAATAGCTAAAGCTTCTCTAAATAATTCACTTTAAAATGTCAAGTAATAAAAGATGATAACTTTTAGATATTACATCAGTAATAAAGTAATGCCGGTAATTAATGTGGCTGAATTGTCTCAATCAACAAACAGTTTCATTAACATATATCTTTCAAAGTCGTTACTTAGGCCTGTAATATGGACAAATCCGTGTTAACAAAGTTTATAATGTCATGTAAGGTATACAGAAGTCTCATTTTTATTCATCTTAAAAGAAAACGACGCTTTCAGCAGATCGGTTATTTATAAGTTTCAAAGGAACGCAGTACCCCAAATGTGCTTTGTCATCATGCACTATTTGGTCCAAAAATATAAATACAATCAACATCCGCTGTTTACGAGCACGCACTACATGAAGTCAAGGAAAGTTAAATTGCTTACCCTTTTTCAATAACAATATTTATTACGTTGTTTTGCTTGAACATACATTTTTAGACTTATATTGGCAACGGTAAAATATTTTGGGTGTCAACTATCCCTTGCGAGAAAGAATAGAATTATGATGTCAATCTTGTTCCTGCATTCGATCATAAACATAATTATAGTTGCGGAATTATCCTTTGCATGAACCACCATACTCTGATGTACAAGAGTGAAAATTCACTCTTGTAGGAATAATAATTAACAGGGATAACTACCTTTTTGGAATCCTACCAAATCCACACTCGTAATTGTGGAATCCGCACGCAAAATAATTATTATCTAAGTGAACCTTCATCATGCGACTTCTAAAAGGGAAAAACCACCCATCTCCAAATTAGAGAGAATAAATTTTATATAAAATACAAAACTGATCAACAAGCATAATTAAGAATACAAGTTAGCAGAATTGATAGTCAACTACACACCAGAAGGGCTAACAAGCGCTGGAGAGTGCGTCGCCCGAGCGAATCGATTATACGACACAAACATGTTCATGTTTTGCCACACACTTTTTTTAAAGCATAATTGTTTACTTCGAACGTTCGACACACGTTACCACTTGTGCAGTACATACGCCGTTTCTGAAATAAATAAATCGTAAGTCAAACTCATTTTTCCAGATGGTGACCCGTGTTTCACCCATGTAAACCTGTAAAACCACATCTAAATGTAATAAGAGAAATTTCTCCGAATGTATGGAAAAGTGCGTCAAGGCGCTATTCGTGTTTTTCCTATCCATTGTTATCATGGTAAAGCATATGGAGAATATAGCGCATACATGAATACCAATGGACAATGTTGATAGTAACTCAGTGCCCCCCTATTTAACCCCCCGCCCCAACCCCCGCCATATCCAATCTGGTACATCTAATGTCGAGTATCGAGTACAAAGCCCCCTATTTGCATGATTAATGCTCTGCGGCTAACTGATACCCCAAAGCACCCCAAATTGCATGAATTTATGAGGATAGGACACTGCAAATGTTACTCTACCTTTATTTTTTCTTGTTGACTTGTGCCAATGTGACACCCTCCACCCCCCCCCCCCCGGGAATCCTGGATCCGCGACGCTGGTTTCTAATTAAAAATCATTTGAGTTACCACAAGGCATAGGTCTTTCACATTTTATTTGATAATATTTTATTCTCATTTTATTCTCAAGAAAGGACAAAGAGGATGTATGTGAAATGCAAATAAAATTGCAAAAAAACAAAAGAGATTAAATGCTCAAGCCGAAACAATTGAAGAAGTATACTGAGTGCTTAAAGTCAAATTCTTGAGGCAACAAGTTTACAAACTAAATTGAGTGAAATTTAGAGTTATCAAGTACAAATAAAATTCTTTGGAGGCAAATTTGAGAAACAATTTGAATTTTTTTTAGTTTAAAGAAATCAAGTATTCCTTGCAATCAACGGTCTTGTAAACAAGGAATTTTGTTTTGATTGAGAAATAAAAAAAAATATGACAATATCACAGAATATCAATACAATAACATCATGATAAATGTAGGTTTATTATGCTAGTGATGTAAAAGGATGGAGTCTTTATGGAAATTATATGCATAATGCAAATTTGCATGGTGTACATAATAAACCAAAATTATTCTAACTTTTAAACTTCAAGTCTATGAACTTGTGACCTTTATTGAACATGATGCAAGCTTGAATAATCAACAATGCCTTCCATATTCCTTTTTTAATCATTTGAATATCATCTGTTAAATGCTATCTCTTTCTCCTTCTTTGTAATTTTAGCATCCAATTTTCATTCACAAAGGGGTTGATCATTTCCTGTCAGCTTGAATTTGTCACACTTTTCTTATAGCACGAACTTCATTATTCATCGGATAAAAATTACAACCAATTATCTGTCGATAAAAAAAATGATGCCTGCAGTTCCAAGCGAGCAAAGAGCTTGATGAATATTAATCACATTGCCGATGACAACATAATCCCGTGGAATTGATTTTTTTTTTTTATTGGTTCAAAAGTAGAGAAATGTGTGAATAAAGCTTTAGAGGGGCTTTGAAGAGAACGGATGTTGATTTATGGAGTAGAATTTTGAATTTCATGCGTGAGGAAGACTCGAATTGAGACAGGTAATCACCAGGAAGATATGGATTCTCTTTGATGCTATTGTGCCGTTTTAGTTTGATTTGGTTGACGAACGTGGCGGGAATATTGCACGTCGCTGCTGGTGTCTGGAACGGCAGTTGGCGCATGGGTTAGATGCGGTCAAGTTTTGCATAAAGTAAATATTAATCATCCCCCCTCTCTTTCTCTCTCTCTCTCTCTCTCTCTCTCTCTCTCTCCTACTATCTCTTTTGTCTTCTATCATGAGGGCTATCGTTTATT